GGGGCTCTGAGGATGGTGGTTTGCTTGCAGATGTTTCAGGAGTCAAAGTGGGATAAATAAATGGACTGGTACTGATGGTGTTACCTGGTTTGGGTCATGAGACGTCTGCAAGAAAGCCACCAAGCTCAGAGAGCACCGAGGATCCCACAGCTGCCCTCCTTTTGCTCCTTCCCCTTCTCCTTTCTTCTTCTCCACTCCTCAACCCCAGCTCTCTTCTGGCACTGCTGATGTTACTTAGTTGGGTCATGAAATACTTGCAAGAAAGCCACCAAGCTCAGAGAGCACTAAGCAACCCACAGCCATCGTCCTCCCCACCTCCTTCTCCATCCATAAACCTCACTCCCTTCTAGCATTGAATGATGTTACCTAGCTTGGATCATAAAATGTCTGCAAGAAAACCACCAAGGACCCCTCTGGGACTAGAATGATATATAGGATCTCCTAGACAATAGGATCACCTATAGCCGGGATGGTGAACCTATGGCACACCTGGCACAGGTGGCATGCGGAGCCATTTGTCAGGGCATGCAAGGTGTTGCCCTGTCAGCTGGCCAGCGTGCATGCACGCGCTGGCAAACTGAGTTCAGCCTTTTTTAAAGCCATTTTCACCCTCCCCAGGCTCCAGAGGCTTTATAGGAGCCTGAGGAGGGCGAAAACAGCCTCCCCTGCCCCCCCCCCCAAAAAAGACCACCGGAGGCTTCAGGAGCTTACCTGAAGCCTCCGGAGCGCAAAAAACCAGCCCTACAGGCAAACTGGATGTTCAGGAACGGACTTCGGGTTTGTTTGTAGGGCCGTTTTTAGTCCTCTGGAGCCTTCAAGCTCCTGAAGCCTCCAGGGGGCAGGGGAGGCTGTTTTTGCTCTCCCCAGGCTCCTATGGAACCTGGGGAGGGCGAAAAAAGCATGCAAAAACTAGGGGTGGGGAGCGCCTGTCATGCACGCATGCACGCTGAGGTGGGTTGCATATTGCATTACGGGTGTGGTACACCCGCGCACGACCCCCCTGCATTTCTCCCGCTTATGGCCCTGGAGCGAAAAAAGGTTTGCCATCGCTGGCCTATAGATATAGGACAGCGATGGTTTACCTTTTTTGGCTCACGTGCCATGTGCGGGGAGTGCAGGGGCTTTCATGTGCAGGCGTGCCACACCCATAATGCAATGTGCGATCCCCCAGTGCGCATGCGCACACTACAGGTGCTCCCCCCATTTTTTGCATGCTNCCATAATATAAAAAATACCAAAAATTAAAATTAAATTTGAAGACAATTTTGCATGTTGTGGCAAATCATGACATCTAGGAGTTTTTTCCATATTTTATTTGTTTTCAGCATACCCAAATACATGGAAATTAGATGAAAATAATCAAACAGCTTTTTAGTCGCAGACCTGTGAATCTGTCTTTCATTCTATACCAGGAAAACAAAACAAAAACAAAGGAAAAAATGCATCACAGCATAATAAAAATGTAAAGCATTGTCCGTTTTTTTGTTCTTCACTTCTCCATGCTAGACATGCTTAGTTAACTCCATGCTTAGTTAACTCCAAAACAAATATAGTATGTCTGCTTTTGCACAATTTTTTTTACCTAAATAGCAGTTGGATGCATAAAAGCAAGATTTTGTTCTATTGAGAATAGACATACTGTTAACTTAAGATTTCAAGACACCAGTTGTAACTTATAGTTTGCACAATAGGCATTTTGTAGCTGCATGTTAATATTCATACATATATCCTAAGTGCATAAATACATCTCAGATATCACTTCCCAAATGTGAACATAACTTTAACTAGGGTGTACTTGTGCACATCATCACTTTTGTTTATAGAGAATTATAAACATTATATGAATACAGATCCATTTATATGAACGTACACTAAGAAATAGAAAAGCGGGATGAGTTCCTATGCACCAGAAGATCCAGATAGTTATGTAATGTGTTTCTTTCTCAGTCAGGCACGTGTAATGAAACGCTTCTGTATGTGTGTGTGTGTGTGTCACATCAACGCCTCAACCTGTTGGCAAACCCTGATTTGTCTTTTATTGGAAGAGATCTGTTCTTTCTATTTTTAAGTGACTAAGAGGTGTTTGGCTGCCATGGGAATGTGGGGAGAACAATGTGAGCGGCTCAGCAGATGGATAGGGTAATACAGTGGGTGAGAATGAAAGGAACAGAACAATACTGCGGGTGTGAATCTTCTTCTAGCACATGTACACAGCTATTTTCCTCAGCGTGCCTGGCTGTGTTTCAGGATGATTAGATGGACATGTGTCTATTCCGTTAAGTGCTGAAAAAACCTTAATGACAAATATAAAGGAGAGGTGAGACAAAAGTGGGATCCCTTGTTGTCTTGCTTTGGAAGATGATATTTCATACTCCTAAGACACAGTAGAAGCCCAAAGGGCCATTTCCAGCTGTTTTAATTTCAGCATTCAACAAACATAATGATTCCTGCTTCCCCCAGCTTTTAACAGAAAGACTTTTATTGAAGATGCTGCCAATTTCCTGCTATTGTTGTTTAAAAGGTCTTGTATTGACTGATCAATTTGTGGTTGGTCTGTGGGTTTTATACTTTTTGCCTCTTGTGGCAGACAGCTCAGGGATGCTTCAGCCTGGGTGACAAAGCAGCAGCACAACATTTAAAATATTGAATTTTGCTGTACTGATTATGTGCCATTGTCAATTTTTAATGACCACCCAGACCATGGGTGTCAAACTTGCTGCATCACATTGATATCATGGTACATATCATGATGTATTGTGACATTTTTTGCCTTTGTGGAGCTGGGGTAGGCGTGGCCTGTGCATGACGCATCCAGCCCACGGGCCATCAGTTTGACACCCCTGACCGAGACAAACATTTTCCAAGAACTGTCCCCAAGTAGGCCTTCAGGTTTTCTCAAATGGTGCACTCAGTACTGCTATAATCAAGTCCATCAACCTTCTGGCTAGTTTCCTCCTTTGTTTTCCTTTTCATCTTTCCCGCTGTTATTAACTTTCAAGAGAGTTAGGTTTCAATAATTTGAGCCTGGGCATCTGAGAACCCTGGATTGATTTGTTCCCTGTTTGTTTCCATGGATAACTGTATTATTCTTAAAAATCTTCAATACTTAAAAATCAAATGTGAATTTTTACCCTTTTTACCCTTTTTCTAATTCCAGCCTTTGCTTTCATAAAGTCACTGAAATAAACACTGCCGGCATGAATCCGATTCTGATTCAGTCACATCAGTTATTGTAGATTTATATTCTTTGATTTTCTGAATTATCCAGCTCATACGAGCAACAACATCTCTTGTTCTTTGGCCTTTTCTAAAGCCTACTTGAACATATAGCATCTCCTTTCTCCTTTTCCTTCCAAGATCCGGGAGGGATCAAAGATGACATTATCATTATACTCAGAAAAGGGGTTGTGGTGGTGGCAAAAACCCAGAGTGATTCTGTCTTGTAAGGGTTGAGTTAAAGCCAATTCCTCCTCTTCTAGAACCACACCATTTCCAGGCAGCTGGTCAGTTCCTCAACAGCATCTGATTGGCTAGAACTGGAAATTTGCATTAATGATCAGCATACTCAGTATACAGGAAGTCTTCAATTTAATCACAACTGGGACCAGAATTTCAGTGGTTAAGCAAGGCAACTGTTAAATATATCATGCCAGATTTTATGACCTTTTTTGCCATGATTGTTAAACAGGTCACTGCAGTGGTTAAGTGAATCAGTCATTAAACAAATCAGGTTAGCCCCCAACTATGCTTTTTGGAAGCCACCTGAGATCACAAAATGGAAACCACATGACCCTACATTCACCATTTTGAGCTATGTTGATGCTAGGAAAGTTAATTTTTCCAGACATTCTTTCTCTTCACCATCCATTTCCATTTTGATGTTCCCCTTCCTTGCAATGGCCATGACCACAGTCTTTTTGATATTCAGGAAGAAACCACAATTCTCACTTTCTTCTTTGATTTTCTTGAGCACATATTCCAGGCTGCCTTTGATTTCTGAGACGGGTTCAATCATCAGCACATCGAAGATTGTTGACGTTTCTTCCACCCACCTTTCCGCCCATTTTTGATTCTTCCAGATCTAGCTTCCTCATGACCATTTCAGCATCCAGGTTGAGTAAGAAATGGGAGTGATAATGCAACCTCAGCACACACCTTTTTCTATATGAAGCCCAACCGGGAGTATCTTCCCTGGGAACATTCCCTCATGATTAAGAAGGGTAAGCAGCCAAACGTCTCAAACCGAAAAAGAAAACCAGTTGCCATGACTCAGTTTCTACATTTCCTCATGAAGCATTTCTCTGGAAGCCAAAACCAAGGCCAAGAGCGGGCTTAGTCTAACCTCTGGTTTTGACGAGAGTTTTAAAAACAAATGTCCTCTTTGACATTTGTCCACAGCACGGGAAGCCAGCAACAGAAACCATTATCTCGCCTCAGGGTCGGCTTCAACTGACGAGCTGCCGCCCTCGCGCCAAAAAAAAAAGAGCACCACCTTTCCCGCCTCTTTTCCCTGCTCGCTCCTCCAATCGCCCTGCGCATGCGCCAACCTTTTCTGCGGCTGTTGGGGTCAGCCTTGCTTTCAGGAGGAGGGGGGGAAACTCTCTGAGGTCTATTCTCGCGAGACTCCTTTCTCCTCCGTTTTCCCCCCCCTTCCCCGCTTTCTGCGCATGCGTCTCTTCAACTCGACGCCTATCTCTCACTTCTTTTAAAGCCGTTCGGCCAATCGCGAGGGTGAAGCTGTTTCCCTAGCAGGTCGGGCGCGAGCATCCCTGGCCGGCTCCTTTTCCAGCGCCCGGCCAATCGAGAGAAGGGCTTTCGCGCGAGCGCGCCTGCCTCCCCTCCCCTCGCGGGAGAGCCGACCAATCGCGAGGTGGCGTCGAGAGCCTCCGCCAATCGCGGGGCGGAGAGTTGGTTGGGCGGAGACTTTTTTTTTTTTTTTGCCCCTTCTGCCTCGCGCCCGCTCTCGCGCTTCGGCCACGCCCCCCTCCTTCCTCTCCTCCTCTCGCCTTCTTCGCGTTCCCCTCAGGGTGGTTTCTTTTTTTTTTCCCCTTTTTTTTTGGGTAGGCCTCGCGCGCAGCCTCGGCCTCGCTTAGGGCGGCCAAGCCGGGCGATGACGACGACGCCGTCGCCGCTGCTGTTGCTGCTGCTTCTTCTTCTGAGGCGGGTCCCTCGCTAAAAAGCCGCAACCGGGAACGCCGTCCTCCGCCGCTGCCATGCCGGCTAAAAGGAAACTGGTGCCGCCGGCCCTCAACATCACCCCGACCATCGCTGAGGGACCCAGCCCCACCGAGGGCGACGGCTCCGAGTGAGTGGGGGGGTGGTCGAGCGAGGGTCGGAGATGGGTCTGAGGGGAAAGCTGAGGGGAAGGGCGAGCGGAGGGGGGCGGAAAGAGGATTTTCCTCATGGAAAGGGTCTGAGGTGAATGAGGTAAATCATTCCTCGGGGCTGAGGTAAATGTGTGGGACCGCGGTGAGGGGATGGTGGCTGCCCGTCGGTCCTCGGAGAAGCAGCATCCCAAGCCACGAACACGGGGAGATTGTTTGGCTGGATTGGGGTGGGGGTGGGGGGCATCGGTCTTCCTTCAAAGCGAAGCCCCAAAAGGCAGAGCCCGAGGCGGGGTGGGTGGGTGGCTGGGAGGAACCGGGCTGGTGGTGGTGGAGAGAGACTTCATTCGCCTTCAATACAGTATAGTTTTTATTGTCATCGTATTGTATTTATTTGGTTTGTCACTCATGTACAAGACAACAGGAATAAGAGTAAGCATAGAATAGAATTCTTTTATTGGCCAAGTGTGATTGGACACACAAGGAATTTGTCTTTGGTGCAGATGCTCTCGGTGAACATAAAAGGAAAATAAAATACATTCACCAAGAATAAAAAGATACAAGGCTTAGGGATAGTCAGAGGTTACAAATAAGCAGAAACATGAATAAGAACAAAGGAAATGGTTACAAATAAATAGGGACAGTAGGACAGGGATGGAGGGCACGAGCACGCTGGTGCTCTTATGCATCCCCACCCCTTCACGGACCTATTAGGAATAGAGGGAGGTCCACGGTAGACAGTTTTAAGGTTGAAGCTGTGGGGTTTATACAATCTTATACAATAGCAGAGTTGGAAGGGACCTTGGAGGTCTTCTAGTCCAACCCCCTGCCTAGGCAGGANTGAACTGGACAGGGCAGCGCTTCACGTTCCCTGACAAATGACTCCGCATACCACCTGTGGCATGTGTGCCATAGGTTCACCATCATTGGTATAGGATCTCTTGTCATAGGCAGGAGGGTTGGACTAGACGACCCAAGGTCCCTTCCAGCCCTATTATTCTATATTCTGTGAAGAGCTTGGACTGAGAGAAGGGATGCAATATCCTCCTAGACCTGGTGAAAAGATTTTTAAAAAATCAAATAACAGTTCATTTAAAAACCAATGAAAACAGGCCATTTTATCATCATACTGGCGGGCTGAATATTTGGTAATTAAGGGAGGAGGAAGATTGTGCTGGATACATCTCTTGAAAGAAAACAGCATCTCTACCTTCCCTTTCTCAGTCTATAGTGTAATCAACCAAAGTTGTGGGTGAAGTCAAGTTGTAATTCCTGATGAACAAATGTTGGAGAATGGAATGCTTCCTATCATGTTTGACAGATAATAGAGATGTTATCGTAAGGTAGAACCAGACTGTAGGACCTCATTTGGTTGATCAGGTTGGAGTACTCGCAGGAAGAATTTAAAGTATTTAAATTTAAAATAATCTTGGGAAAATTCTCTCCAAATAAATTCTGGTTTCACTATTCCAATTTAATGTTATGCCTGAGAAGCAATAGTTCATTCTTTAAAGGCTGAAAAGCTGGTTGAAATAACTTACCTAGTTTTAAAGATTGTTTTTATTTTTCCTTCAGCCTATTTTATATGGCATGTTATTCTTCAAGCCCCTTAATAAATGAAATGTTCTTCCAGACCATGCTTGTTCAGATAAAATGAGGCATTAAAGCAATATTTAAAATGCATTTTACAAATATTACAAAACAAGAACTGGGGAAATGATTTATTATAATTGAAGTACTGATACAGTGTAAGAGGAAGAATGGACTGGCAAAGTAATGACTGGGAAGGCAGAAGAAAGAGCGTGTTGGGTGTTTAAATAATAATACTTTGCATATTTATTTAGAAGCTGACTTTCTAATCCAATGGGCCACACTTCCAAGAAAGTGTACTTAAGGTTTTAGCCTTGAAAAGGTCCATAGTGAGGTGTGGACTGAAGAGATCGGTAAGGATAGAAATGAAGGTTGGGCTGACAGCAATGACATTCAGGACTTCACTTGTGGAATGATTTGTGTTGAAATGTTGTTTTTCATAAATGTTGAAGTGTTGTTAATTATTGAGGTGAGGAACAACTGTCAATGACCTGGAAAGGAATAATTGTAATGAGAGATGTTATCCATGTAAAGGATGAAGCCTATATAAAAATGTGGGCAATTATCAAAAAGAATGGATGAATACAGAATATAATACAGAATAATAGAATTGGAAGGGACCTTGGAGGTCTTCTAGTCCAACCCCCTGCTCAGACAGGAAGCCCTATTCCATTTCAAACAAGTGGTTGTCCAATCTCTTCTTAAAAACACTTCCAGTGTTGGAGCATTCACAACTTCTGGAGGCAGGTTGTTCCACTGATTAATTTTTCTAAGTGATGCTATTAAAAGTACAGTGTTTAGAGGTTGCATAACTTCATATTTACATTAATAGATATAGATTTCTACATTTTTAGAAAGTGTTGACAAACATAAGCATTTTGCCCTATTACTGATGGAAGGAAGAGGCATTGTTTGAAACTGCATGGAATTTTGTGTAGAATGTTATTTAAAATAAAAAAAATAATAGAAGAGTGTCCGTATGTATATGTACCAGAGGTGGTATTCTGCTGGTTCTCCCCAGTTCAGCTGAACTGGTAGTGGCAGCAGCGGCAGGCTCCGCCCACCCGCCCAGATGTCATCATGGACGCTCTGTGCATGCGCAGAACCGCTGTGCATGAGTGCTCCCAGTTTCAAACCAGTTGCAAAGAGAAAACCATTACTGACATGTACACATATGCAAATTATGCTTTAATCACATCATTTATAATGATAATCACCCATTTAGATTATTTTTAAAAACAATTAGCTCAGGGACATCCAACTTTGATAATTTTAAGACCTGTGGACTTTAATTCCCAGAATTCCCTATGCTGGCTGAGGAGTCCATAAGTTTTAAACTTGCCAAGGTTGGACACTCATGGACTACATGAAATTGGAAATCCAAATTATTGGTAGAATGCTATTGATTTTGTAGTGGAATAATATCAAGATTCACAGGCTTGAATAATTACCAGCTGCCGAGAAGTGACAATGGAAAAGAACAGTCTCCTCCCTGTATTTTTAGCTTCCAGAAATGTGTGTGGTTGGCCCCTAATCCATATAGGATGCGACACTGAGAGGGTCTCTTCTCCGATACAGCAAAAGTTTTTCTTATGATCTATATTAGTATGGTAGTGACCCATGTTAAGTTAAATAATTCATTAATCTGCTTCTGTACAATTGATAATTTAGAAATGAATGTTGGAGAGTGAGAATCAGTATTAGTCCGGAAAATGGGTGTGCGCCATAAAATATTTAAAAAATGGAGTACATATAATGTAGTAGGGAAAGGAAATTAGGAAGAATTGAGGGTATGGAGTAGAGAAATTGTGTGGAAAGATGAGCAGTAGTTTAAAGCCAATAATAAAAGAACTGAATAGCAATAATTCTTATTACATAGTTTTATCCAAGGGGTTCAGGGTACTATTGCTGTAATGGCATTCTCTCTCTCTTCCCCCCCCCCAATGGTTTTCACTCTAATGCTATTCCTGTAACAACTTTGAACAGTTGGGAATGTGAAAATGACTAACTAGGACCACCATCTATTCAGATTCTTGTGCTGTTTTTAACTGCAATCTATAACTAGCTACAGCCATTTGGGGAATTGGTTGTCCCTCGTGGCAATTAGTTTGTGAGGGTACACAAGGCACTTTCACAAAAATCATACGCCATCTAAGCTAAAAATTCAGAATATGCAGTATATATCTGTGTGTACATTAATTTTAGTATTTTACTGTTTATGGAAATCTCTGTTCAGAGAGCTTAAAACCTAATGTGTGTGTGTGTCTCACATAACTCGCCCTTACGCTCGTATAATTATGGTGTATTTGCATAACCTGCTTATCCCTCATTAATTTAGCCATGAGTTACTCAGTGACACACTGAAGCATAGAAAGACATCCTCACTGGATTTGCATAGCATACTATTAAAATGTTCTTTGTTGTTCATAGTGTTGTCCAAATTCAGTGTCACATCTCAACAACCTAAGAAACATTCAACATACAGGTAGTTCTCGGGTTAGGACCACAACTAACCCCAAAATTTCTGTTGTTAAGCAAGATATTTGTTAAGTGAGTTTTGCCCCATTTTACGACCTTTATTGCCATAATTGTTAAGTGAATCATTGCAGTTGTTAGTAACAGAGTTGTTAAATGAAACTAGCTTCCCCATTGACTTTGCTTACAGAGTTGCAAAATCACATGACTCAGGACACGGCAGCTATCATAAATATGAGCGGCTGGATTTTGCTCACGTGATTGTGACAATGCTGCAACGGTCATAAATGTGAAAAACTATGAGTCACCTTTTTCAGTGCTGTTGTAGCTTCAAATGGTCACTAAATGAACTGTTATAAGTTAAGGACTACTGTGTGAGACTCATGGTCTGTGACCTTTATGAGTGGTAAGATGCCTGAATAGAGATTTGAACTTGGGACTTCAGTCCCATACATTTATGATGTATGCCAGAGGTCCATCGCCTGCAAATGGGATGGAAATTTAATAGATTGGGGATTTTTTTAAAAAAAAAAAATGAACTGATTGATTTTCACGGCAAACCAAGTGAAAAAAAATAGTATCTGTTGAGTATATTTGGAGGAAAGAATGATGAATTGGCGGGGGGGGAGACTATAAAATAAGGAGCAGTGATACTTAAAGAAACTGAGATAGACTGGTGGAAATGCTGCAGTTTTGCAGAAAAACAGCAGCTTGATGAAGGGGTAGCTGACTATAGTGTGTCCTTTCAAGAGCTGTGTAAATAGATCAGGAAATTACATGTACATATTAGTAATGGAGACTATTATAGCAAAATAACTGCTATAAGCACAGGGATTCAGATCAAAGGAAGAGTAGTGTTCAAAGACTGCTAAAGGTGTGTGAACAAAATGTAAGGAAAATTAATTGTGTGTGGAAGAGGAATCAACTGTAGGGAAAAAAAGAAAAGAAAAGCAGCAGGAACAATGCACAAGGAAAACTGTGCCCGCTTTAGATACTTTTGTCATTTTTGTTGAAAGATTTTGCTTAATTAGAAGATAACTAAGAACAAATTATAAAAAGTAGAGACTATACAAGAGAAAGAAACAGGAGAGGAAAAGAAAAATTAGAGCCACTTCCAATCTTCATTACAACAATTACAAATTTTTATCCCACCCTTTAGAACAAGGGTGGCTAACCTTTTTGGCACAGAGTGCCAAAACAGGAGCGTATGTGTGTGTGTGCACGCGCCGGAGCACCAAAACCCAGAAGATAGCAGCTGATCAGTGCGCATGGATGCGGCAACCAGCTGCACTTCCGGGTTCCGTCACATGCATGTGCGCTGGCCAGCTGGCGACAGCGCACATGTCCACAGAGAAGGGTCTGCGTGCCACAGGTTCGCCATCATGGCTTTAGAGCTATCTCTCCTTCCTGCACGTATGTAACTTCTTTTAATTAGCAATCCCCCAAATCACCAGTTTATTTGTGTCCATTTTCAGCAAAACATCTATAAAAGATTTTCAATGTTTTATAAAAGTACTTTGGACTCAGATGCTTTAAACAGGACATATTTTAAATGGGAAGAGAGGAACTTAAGGAACTTCTGAAACTTAAGAGCTGGGAAACACCAGGATACAGAATTTATTGTCTATCCTCTCGTATTTCCATTTTTTCTTTTTTCTTTAAAAAAAAAAGCTTGGTTCAGTTTTTCTCTTTTTCCTAAAGGAATATTTTCCCCTTATCCAAATGGACTGCCCCCTGTCTTCTAAAATAAAACAAAAAAAAATTAAAGTTGAAAGTCAATGGACTCCTACTTAAAAATAGCAATTCTCAATTCTGATCGATTTATTTTGAATAAATATGCATAAAATTGCAGATACAGTAAATGTAAAACTTGCACTGAGCTGAGATAATAAAGACTCCACAAAGTGGGCATTTCCACAGGAGAAACTCCTAATTATTTATAGACTTGGAGAGGTTTAATATTAAGACATTTTGGTTTCAAGAGTACAGATTAACCCAGTTGTTCCCATGTTGAAGAGAACCTTTATGTTATGGGGTCAACAGTAGATACCTCAAATAACCATTGATATGGAAACGTGAGAGGAAAAAAATTAGTTTTTTTTCCTGGAACATAGACTTATACAGGTTTTTGATACTTGTATACTATAGTACTCAAATGTTGTTTGCATATAAGACTTCATTCTTGCCTGCATCAAAGAGATTGAGTTAGTCAAGCTTTGTCCTGTGAGTCTTCTCTTGAGTGAATGAGTCCCTGAATAAAGGGTTAAGAGTCCAGAAACTGGAGATTTTTAGTTGTATCCCTGTGAAGTGTGACCATCTCTTTATTTACAGATTTTAAAGTCTGCGTAACTCAAAAACCCATTGTGCAGATTACAACAGTTTAAAAAATGAATAATGATGTTAATCCTTCCCTCAATACTGCTTAACCTGAGTTAGAAGCTCAGTGAATTTAAACTGCCATCCGTAATCTTGTAGATGCCACAGTGTAGGGCGCTGTAATTCAAAATTACATCCGCAAATCACATGCTGCTAAATGGAAGCAAAGTGTGGAGGTGGAATGGCATGGGCATGGGGATGGGGATGGCAGGCAGCGGGGAGAGAAGGAGCTTGTTTAGTAAATAGTTGCCTGCGTGAAAAAGGGCCTGAAATCGTCTTGAACGAAAGGATTTGGAAGAAGCTGCTATCAGTGAGATGAAATAGGCAAGATTGAGGTGTTTAGAAGGGGATTGTTAAAAGCACCAAGAAGAAAAAAGGAAAATAATCCCAATGTACAGTACATTAAAAAAGTCAAATGGAATTTAAAAAAAATAAAACCGACAATATATATTTGGAAACCCCTATCCACATTTTGTTTAGTTGGCTTGGAGAATTTCTTGTTTAGATTGAGAAAATAGGAGATTGGGAAAATAGGTGTTCCTCGTAGCCAACTGAATATTAGAATTCCACCTAGCACAGAACTATGAAAATACTGAACAGTCTTCCATACAGGTAGAACTACAATTGAGCCCAAAATTTCCATTGTTAAGCAAGATAGCTGTTAAGTGAGTTTTGCCCAATTTTACCACCTTTCTTGCCACCATTGTTAAGGGCACCACTCAGTTGAATTAGTAACACGGTTTTAAAGTGAATCTGGCTTCCCTATTGCTTTAGCTCAGTGTTTTTCAACCTTTTTTGTGCAAAGGCACACTTTTTTCATGAAAAAA